GTGACTTAAAAGTAGGCAGACAGTGTAATAGAGCAGCAGGAAATGCAAGCACAATGCTTGGTTGTATAGGGAGAGATATTAGCAGAAGAAAGAGGGAAGTACTCATGACATTGTACAGAACACTGGCGAGACCTCACTTGGAGTGTTGTACGAAGTACTGGAGACCATAACTCCAGAAGGATATTGATACTTTGGTGAAGGTACAGAGAAGGGTTACTAAACTGGTTCATGAGTTACAGGATAAAACTTCCAAGGAGAGGTTAAAGAATCTTAACATGTGTAGCTTGGAGGAAAGACGAGACAGGGGGAATATAATAGAAACATTTAAATGCATAAAGGGAATCAACTCCGTAAAGGAAGAGACTATATTTAAAAGAAGAAAAAGTACCACAATAAGAGGACATAATCTTAAATTACAGGGGCAAAGATCCCAGACCCTCCCACCTCCTGGACAGCTTACTAAGAATGCAGCTTCAAAATGGATGCTGTCCAGGAGGTGGGAGGGTCTGGGAGGGAGGGTCTGCTGCTGATTGGCTGGAATGTGTCTGCTGACTGTGAGGTACAGGGTCAAAGTTTACTCAATGATGAGTCCGCGGCAAACCGTTTGGGACATCACTAATTACTTTACTAAGTGTGACAAACGCTCCTTGCGCTGGATGTTTTCCACAAATTTATATAGGAGTGTAGAAGCTGGCCTCCTGCCCACCGACTATGGGCCACAAAGACTCTGTTCGGGAGTTAAATCTCCCCAACCGCCATTAGTAGCCTGCCCTGGTTGCCCCTGATTCGGCACTTTCCCTTCATGCGAATGGAACCGAAAGCTGGCTCTCTGACGGCCGTTCTGGCATAAACCAAACCCAAACATTACCTAGGGGCCAGCTGGAGAACCTCGTATTGCGGCAGCAGGAGCTCCCGAAGTTGACCGGCAAAAGCATCAAACGCCCTGGAACTGTTTTGAGCATTGGACCATGTGTGTGGCCGGTCAGAACTTCCACACGGTGGCGTTTACCCTACACTGCATGGATCTGAGCGCAATTTGGAGAACTTGGGTGCTCAGATCAGGACTATTTAACAATATATAATTTGTGTGGGTTTTGATATTTTCTTTTGATATTTTATGTTTTTATGCCGAGTCACTCTGACACAGGAATTTGTGCACATTTTGTGAGAGTATTCTGGGCTTGTTTTACTGCATCCTCATTTGGTATATTAGTAGACAATTTGGCCATAATTAAACACATTTGTTTCTACCCTTCATCAAGCCTAGGCTGATGTTTGGGGAATTGGGAGCTATAATCACTGCTTCACTGGGGATTTGGGAGAACTACAGCGGATACACTCAGCCGGAGTATAGGGGATCCGTTACACTAAGAGGGTAGTGGATGCACGTAATAGTTTTCCAGCTAAGGTGGTAAAGGTTAACACAGTGAAGGAGTTTAACTATGCGTGGGAAAGGCATAAGGCTATCCTAGACTTAAGCTTAGGCCAGGGACTAATGAAAGTATTTAGAAAATTGGGCAGACTAGATGGGCCGAATGGTTCATATCTGCCGTCACATTCTATGTTACTAATAAAAACACTTCATCATTTTTATTTGCCATTTTCCTTTAATTCTAGAACTACTTTTCTGTATGTAGCATACATTTACTTTACTAACATAAAAAGAAAATTTGACAAACTATGTTAAAAGTACCCCTATAATTATGATCAATGCAGAACTCTTTTTTTTTTACTCATCTGTCACATCAAAACCATTTGTAGTTTGTATAATTTTTCCAAGTGTATTTATCCACTGAAGGCTTGACTTTTGCCCTCCTCCATTCAAGTAATGCATTGCAATTATGTTGATACAAATGCAGTCAGGTCAGTGAAGAGTTTAGAAACTTAATGCTTCAGTAGGCGTCTTTAGCATTTCCAGTAAATGCTCTACACATTCTTATTCGTAAACTCTGTAAAACCTACTGAACTTTAACCGTAGATATCACCTGGGAGAAGAGAATAAAATGAGCAAAACCAAAGAGCTGTTGAAATGAAAAGAGTACAGGGGAAAAAATAACACAAAGAAAAATATCCTTAAGGACAGTAAATTGGACCAGAGCAACAGAGGAACAAATGCGAGATCAGAAAAAAGGCTAGATTTTGCAGACTTTCAAGAATTATCAAGAAAAAGACCACTGGTAAAGCCAAGGAAAAAATAATCTCTATGTTACATACTTTTTGAAGAGTAAAATGACAACTGTTAAACAGCCAGTAAAATGATGTCAGGTCCAATATAAGAAAGTTTATATTATTTAATCATTTAATCATTTAAATGAAAGACTTATAGGTTTATTCACTAAACTCACTCACTAAATTCACTCTTAAGCTCCAAAAAACTGCAAAATGGAGGGTAAAATAGTCATATTTCTGTTGAAGATATTTTTTTTTTGGTAAAATTTTAATTTTCATTTGCAAAATGTATTATTAGAATTTAGTGAAGAAATATGTAAAATATTAGTGAGTTCATTGAAATTGCATATTTACTGTTTAAAATAATTATTTAAGAGTAGTAGATTTGGTTTTTGTTTTAGGAACAGAGACTATGACCCAACTATTTAGGTGAACTAGGTGACTGTGACAGTCAAAGTCATAACGGGGTACCAAGTCGCATCCACTGTACTCCCTGACTGAGGCCAGCATCTTGTTTCCTCACTAAAAAATGAAATAAACTTTTGATAATGATGTTAGCACAAAATTGAAAGGAGAAAACATTGGAGCAGACATAAACTGGAAGGGATAGGAGAAGAAAAAAATAACAAAAAAAAGGCCCTTACATTTGATAAACAACAAAATGCTAAAAGGAAAAGGATGAAAAATAGAAAAGCAATAAATAAAGCAGGAGGAATAAGAGCTGATAATAAAGTACACCGTCTTGGAATTCTATGGTTTTACATGTCAGGGCATAATAACAATCATTTGTTCCATAGCAGGTCTTAAAATTAGATAAATACAGCTTCAAAATGTCAGCTTTTATAGAGGTGGTATCATTTGCTGATGATCAATTAACCAAAGGCATTAAATTAGCAGCACATGGATTCTCCATTTTGGCTTAATTGTTGTGTTAAATGAATTATTATTGGTGTATGTAGAGGAAGCAAATAATGTATGTAAACAAACAAACAAAAATGAATGAATAAGAAGTAGAACATATAAATCAATATATTCTTAAAGGACCACTATAGTGCCAGGAAAACATACTCGTTTTCCTGGCTCTATAGTGCCCTGAGTGTGCACCCACACTCAGGGACCCCCTCCCGCCGGGCTCTGGGGAGAGGAAGGGGTTAAAATCTTACCTTTCTCCAGCGCCGGGCGGGGAGCTGTCCTCCTCCTCTCCGCCTCTTCGACTGAATGCGCATGCGCGGCAGGAGCTGCGCGCGCATTCAGCCAGTCTCATAGGAAAGCATTTACAATGCTTTCCTATGGACGCTGGTGTCTTCTCACTGATTTTCACAGTGAGAATCACGCAAACGCCTCTAGCTGCTGTGAATGAGACAGCCACTAGAGGCTTTAGAGGCTGGATTAACCCATTTATAAACATAGCAGTTTCTCTGAAACTGCTATGTTTATAAAAAATGCATTAACCCTAGCTGGACCTGGCACCCAGACCACTTCATTAAGCTGAAGTGGTCTGGGTGCCTAGAGTGGTCCTTTAAGGAATAGGTACAGTGGTCCTAAACCATTGTAGCTACTGCCAACTCAAAGGTTTGCAGTGTCATACATACAGCATTATACATACTTAGTGCTCACTTGTAACCTAGAAATTTTCCTTCCCATTAGCTCCACTCCACCAATCATTGACCAACCTCCTTCATTAAACATAATTGCCTAAGTAAAGCCGCTATGTGATAGCTTATGAACTTAAAATGTAACCAATCTGTGTCTTGTAATTTGAGGGAGTTTCCTGCCCCAGGTAAGAGGCCTCTCAAACAGGAAAAGGATTAAGCTCAAAGTGTGTTTTGAACAACAGCTGAGCAACTCGTGCAGAGAGGACATCAGTGAGACAACTAGTAGAATATGATTTTTTTTCTTAAAAAAAAAAAAGAAGAAAGAAGAAAAACAAGCAGAAACAGGGAGAGAAAAAGAAAGAAAAAAGTGGGAGGAGGGAAGGTGAAGGGAGGAGATTGAAAAGGGTACTTGTGTGGGACAGGGTATTGAAGGTGCGAAAAGAGGGAGAGTGGCAGCTGTGCCAAACAGTATGGAACAAAATCAGTGTAAAATAGAAGAAGGGATCAGCCCCAAGTGACCAATAGCAGTCTGTTGCCCCCCCATCAGGTTCAGCCCCTGCCTACAACTTCAGACTCCTCAATCTGGCTCACCCTACAGTGTTGGAAATCTTGCAAAGCAGTCTGAGGGCATGAATTCTAACCAGTAGAACCATTGCTGAGTAAATCTCTTTCTATCACTAACAGCCATTGCTTTTAGGTCTTCATATTTTCTCATATCTTCTACCTCTTCCACCATCTTCACAACGGGGGTGTACAAGTTTGCCTCTAGAATATTGGGACCTCTGCTTTTGCTGTGTTCAGGAGTCTTGATATCATGATGGAACAGATTGTAAGATAAGTCTCCTTAATCCCTCAAAAAACATGTTTGATTAGAGATAAAACAGACTTTGAAACTGAAATGGAAAAATCAATTAAAAGTATTGATTATTTCTTTGTGTATCTGCCCCTGGCCAAATCAATGAAACAATGCGTGCACGCTCCCTGAAGTAATTCACACCAGACACAGGTTCCAGGTTGTTGAATAACTTGAGGAATGTTTATTCAGAGGGGACGGCAGGTCCCTTTTAAAGCAAAATTACATCATAAGCATTGTCAGAGATAACATGGAATAATACATCAATAATTGGTTAGGTGTTAAGTGGTTGCTTCAATGCTCTGCCTACTGTAGGTGATGTCACCGGGGCCATGAGGGTCTCCCACGGTTTCCCGGCGCCATCTTGGTGCACGAGGTAGTTAGTCAATGTTAGGAAGAAGAAAGGGAGGGGAGGGGGAAGGAGCTAGAAGCTTCTAGCAGCCATCTTGATTATAACATGTGTGCTTAGCTATATATATATATATCGTGAAATGAGTAAATAGACATTTTTCACTAACTAGGAAATATGTGTAGACCTTATTTCCACAACAGTCCCCCCTAAAATGGCTATTTACCATAACAACTGCTACTGTCCCTAGTATGTCCCTAGTTGCCTGCAACCTATCTGCCTTAACCAGCATCGAACACTTCACTCCGCGGGTAACCCGCAGTGGCTAGTCCACTACATCTCCACACGTGAGACTCGCCAGTTAAGACAGACACTTTCCCTATACTGTCCCTATAGGAAAGCAGTTGTTTGTTTGAACTGATGTGATTGAAGGGGTGTATGTGGAGTATCATCTTCGAGGTCTGTGATGTCTTGGTGTATGAAAGTAGGGGTCACGTCATCTATAGTCTTATCCACCGCTTTCTGTAAATACTTCTGTATGCAGGGGAATATGCAACAGGTCAGAAATAAGAAAATAACGATCATTATGAAAACAGCTGTCCCCACCTGGAAGAGGGTCCTTTGCCAACCATTCATCCATCCAAACCATCTGTCCCAAGGGTCGATGACTCCTGAATTTTTCTTTAGTTCGTCTGCGAGACTATCTAGCTTCTCTATGGCCATAGTCACCTTACCATTGGGCCCAGTGTTGTCTGGAATGTATGTGCAGCATGTCATGGTCTCAGGGAGGATTTTACATACACCCCCTTTCTCAGCTAAAATCATATCTAGGGCCATTCTGTTCTGAAATGTCATTTGGGTAGTGGCTTGTAGTTGCTCTGCCAGGCCCTGTAGGGCGTCCCTAGTGTAGTTGACAAAACGCTGTTGATTATAGTAAATATAGTTAATCCAATTGACATTTTTGTTAGCGGTTATCATTGGAATTAGGGACTCAAATCCTGCAGCCACTTCATCTCTTGCTTTGAATTCGTTAGGCACCCCCCTTGGCACACCTATGGCATCAATATACACATGGGGGTCAAAACTCCCTCGAATAGGAGTCTCTCGTTTGGTTCTAGAGTGTGCATGTGTGAGGTTTAACGTGTTATGGTCACCATCTGGAATGATATGGATAGGCATTATGACTTTAGTTAGGGCACACTCCCCCCACCATTGCCCAATTAATTGGGACCTCAATTGTTTATCCCCACATAACCAATAGATGTCGCCGATTGTCTTTGTGTGGTTCATCAGCAGCGATACGGGTGGATTATGGTAAGTTGAGCAATATCCTGATGGGAATTTGCCCAAATACAAACCGGTGTTTTTAGATATTGTATAACATGTGTAATTACCTGGGTAGATGGTGACTCCATCAGGTGGTTTTACATGTCCGTGAGTGATCGGGTAAATTCTCTTCCACGATTCACATGTCGAAGAATTGGTGACGGACTGTGTGTAAAGGCTCAGAACACATGATTCTACTTCAGGAGGTAAATTCAGAGGAACTGTGCCCAGATGGGGCCTGGCTCCCCCACACACGTAACAATTGGTCTTATTGTGTGAGTTGGCATTATACCTCATCCATTCTAGCCATAAATTAGTGTCTGAGAAACCAGTTTCCACTGCCATAGTGTCTTCAAAGGTGGGGTTGGCTATAGCTACCATGTCATGTAGGGTCTTAATATGTGGTTTTAACGGGTTAACGATCATGTGAGTGGTCCCCACCCAGTCGGGGGAGGTGAGCATGTCTTGCAGGTAGAATGTCCCCAGTGCATTGTGTGAGCCACCTCCCTTCCAGTACATCCCCATCACATATTCCCCCGCGTCCCTTGGACTAGGGTGTTCTATATTCAAGGTAAGTTTAATGGGAGTTGACCCTGTGGGTTTACTAAGAGTCATTCTAGAAAGTAGGGGCTTCCCGTCTTTGTCAAGTCTGTCTAGTGCAACCTGAGGTCTGTAGCCCCATGGTCTACCTGTATTCCACCCGGCAGCTTTCCATGAACTACAGTGGTGTCCCCAAGCGCCTCCAGTCACACAAATGTATGGGTCCTTTTTGTCAGGTATGTCCTTGTATATGGCTGCATGTTGTGTCTGTGGGAATGTACAGGTAACTATGTCACAGTAATCAAAGGTGTATGTAGCTACATCAGTATCAGAAGAATTGTACCAGAAAGTGTAAACGTGATTATCTTTGGTTATGGCCACTTGTTGGGCCCAGGCAAAATGCAACAATACAAGAAAACACAAGACACATAATAAATTCATGTTTCAACAAGATCAGCTTCTCCTGGAGCAGGCACTTTTTTGCAATGTGAAGCGTGTATCCAGGAACTTTTTCCAGCTAGTTTAACTGACGTTGCTGTAATCAGGAGCACTTGATAAGGACCATCAAATCTCGGTTCTAGGGTGTGTTTCCTGAGGAACTTCTTAACCATAACCCAATCACCTGGAAGCAGCTTGTGTGTACCTGTATTCGACTCAGGATCTGGAATAGAAGAAAACACTTGGGCATGTATCTTGGTCAAGGCATGTGAAAGGGCAGTCACATAGTCTACCATAGCGTCTGACTGAATCTGAAGCTGTTGGGGAAAGTAGCAACCTAACCTGGGTGCTGTACCAAACAAAATCTCATAAGGTGACAAACTGTATTTTCCTCTGGGAGTGTACCTTACACTGAATAACGCTAGTGGAAGACTCTCGGGCCAGGGCATGTTAGTTTCTTGTGACATTTTAAGCATTCTGGCTTTCAAAGTGCCATTCATGCGCTCTACCTTACCACTACTCTGTGGGTGATATGGTGTGTGGAATGCAAGGGTCACCCCCAGTGCTGACCAGACTTCCCGTGTTAGCGAGGCAGTGAAGGAGGTCCCTTGGTCACTTTCAATTACTTCTGGAACCCCATAGCGGCAAACAATTTCTGTCAAGAGATATTTGGCTGTAGTCCTCGCGGTGAGATTAGTCACTGGGAAGGCCTCTGGCCATCCTGAAAACATGTCCACTATGACCAATGCATATTCATAACGTCCACTCTTTGGCATCTGAATGTGATCAATCTGGATCCTCTGGAAGGGATATTGCGGCTTGGCTAGGTGATTAGGTGCAGTCTTTATAATCTTTCCAGGATTGCATTTAGCACATATAGTACATGACTTACAGTAATGTTGTGTTAAGGTGGTGATGCCTGGTGCTTCGAAATATTTGTCAATCAGTGAATTCATCAGGAGTTTTGACAGATGAGCTGGTCCATGGGCCCATTGGACCACCGCTGGGTACATACTTCTGGGTAGGCAGAACTTGAGATTAATGGTGTAAACATCATCACGGAGTATAGCTCCTTTGTTCTTCCAACCTTGTTTCTCTTGGGGAGTAGCAGCAGCTTGTTGTTCCTTCAGAAGCCTGAGGTCTGTAGGCAATGTTTGCATAGTATAGATAGGCAGTGTATCTGTGGCCACTCTTCTGTCCACTTCCCATCTTTGCCGTGCTGCTTCTTTAGCTGCTTGATCAGCCAGGTGATTGCCACGTGCTTCTTCTGTGTCTAGTCTTCCATGGGCTTTTACCTTCAGTACTGCCACCTCAGCTGGAAGTTCCAATGCGTCCATCAGCTCTGCAATGGCTGTCCCATGCTTTACTGGGGTACCAGTGGCCGTAAGAAATCCTCTGGTCTTCCAAATTAAGCCAAAATCATGTGCTACTCCCAGGGCATATCTTGAATCCGTGTAAATGTTGGCACGCAACCCTTCAGACAATTTGCAAGCCACAGTTAGAGCTGTCAATTCAGCTTCTTGAGCAGACTTATTTGGTTGCAGGGCAGCTGCTTGTAACACTTGACATTCTGTAGTAACTGCATACCCAGTGTGATATTGCCCTTGTTCATCAGCAAATCTTGACCCATCCACAAATAATGTTTGGTCCGGGTTGAGTAGTGCAGCTTCGTAGACAGTTGGTAGATGTGTAGTTTCCATTTTCATTTGTTCAAAGCAATCATGAGGGATATCGAGGTCACAGTCTGTGGTAAGTGGACCCTCACAGGCTTCTGTATGGTACCTGGGGTACCCAGTTGTACAGCAATTAATAGTCTTTTTGTTGATTCTCGTAGAAGTCAGTTGTTCTGGGGTCATTTGACTCCAGGTTTTGGCCATCGGGCCTAGGTCTTTCCACGAGATGTCGGGGGGTCTGGTGAGAGATATGTGTGGGATCGATGTTTCCCAATGGTGATAGAGATGTGTCACACTCTCTGGGAGGTGGACCAAGATAAGCATGGTACCTGTGAGGTCCCAAAACAAGTCAGTCAGGGTAATTTGGATTTCTTTGAGTTGGAATACTTCTGCCTCGTAATTCATATCAGGGCCTGGTTCATCCCTAATCCACAAAGTGCAATGAAGTAGGGCCATTGATTGTTCATCATGTGGAGGTGCAAATGTAGGTAGTTGCAGATTTGTTAGAACTTCCGGGTTGATATCAAGGCTGTACCAGTGGTACACAATCCCCCCCTTGGGAAGTGGCAGAAGAGTGGGCGGGTTCAGGGTTAGGCATCTCTGAAGTTTTATGTTATCAGGTAAAAGCAATGAGGTTTGCAGGCGGAGGTGGCGTTGGGAGGAAAGGTGCTTGGGTTGAACTTGTTGCAGGATAGCAGTAATGTCATGGGGGGCCAACACGGTAAGGTGATGGCCAAGCACAAAGTCATTAGTCTTGTCCAGGAGGGCACTGGCGGCAAACACAGCACGGAGGCAAGAGGGGCTGCCCCTTGCAACAGGGTCAAGCATACAGGAAAAATAGCCAATGGGCCGTTGTCTGGACCCATGTTTCTGAGTAAGGACTCCGGAAGCATGTCCTGATCTCTCAGAGACAAACAAATTGAAAGAGAGTTGGTAGTTGGGTAGGCCCAAGGCAGGTGCAGAAGCAATAGCTCGTTTCAGAGTATGGAAACAGTTAATAGTTTCTTCAGTGAGGTGAAAAGGTTCACTCCGGAGTGCATCATAGAGAGGCTGCATGAGTTTGGATGCTTCAGGTATCCAGGACCTGCAGTATGTGATGAGACCCAAGAAAGCATGAAGAGAGTGGTGGGTTGCAGGTAATGGGAGTTGAAGGATAGCTTGCACCCGTTGAGAGGTTAGGTGTTTGGTGCCATGGGAAATGCAATGTCCCAAGAAGACCACAGAGGGCCGGCACCATTGCAGCTTTGATTTTGAGGCCTTGCACCCAGCAGTAGCGAGGAAACATAGAAGATCTTCTGAGTCACGTTCTGCAATAAACAAATTAGGAGCACAGAGAAGGAGGTCATCAACATATTGAAGTAGAACAACATCCAGGTGAGATTTCTGCCAGGGATCCAAAACCAGGGACATGGCATGAGCAAACTGTGTGGGAGAATTCTGAGCTCCCTGAGGCATGACAGTCCAGGTATATTGTTGTCCTTCATGTGTGAAGGCAAAGAGAAAACGGCAGGAAGGGTCAAGGGGAACACTGAAAAAGGCATTAGCTAGATCCACAACAGTAAAAACAGTTGAATTTGGTGGCACTTGGGACAAAAGGGTGTGGGGGTTTGGAACAATAGCAGTGTCTTTAATGGTTACATCATTAACGGCACGGAGGTCCTGTACCATGCGGTACTGGTCGGGTTGGCCCTTAATAGTTCGTTTTTTAACAGGGAAGAGTGGGGTGTTGCATGGAGACGTACACTTGGTGAGGGCACCTTTGGCAAGCAGAGACTCAACTTGTTTGGTGATAGCATCAGCTTGTGCTGGCTTTAGAGGATACTGAGGTCGACGAGGAGGAAGTGCTCCAGGCAGGAGCTGGACCAAGACGGGGGGTACATGTAAGCGTCCAATATCATCCGGGCCAGTGGACCAAAGTTCTTGGGGGATACGATCCAGAGCACTGGGGGTGTGTGTGACCCGTGCATTCCCTGTATTGTCTGTTAGGTTCAACAGGATGGGGAGTGAGCAGAGCACAGAAGTATCTTTTTGTGATAAGGGGGTTGTTAACTCAACTTGTCCATCTGCAGTAAAGGTTATGGAAGCCTGGAGCCGGGAGAGGACATCAGCACCTAGGAGGTTAATGGGGCAAGTGGAAGAAACAACAAAACGGGACAGGATGTGTGAACCTACATGTAAGAGCTTGGTAAGGGGGTTACTGCGTGGTGTACCATCCACCCCAACACAGGATACATCAGTGTCAGACAGGAAGGAAGGATCTGGCAGGTCTTGTTCCCTAAGGACACTACGGGCTGCACCTGTGTCAACTAGAAAAGTGGTTGGGTGACCCTCCACGGGGAGAACTACAGTAGCCAAGGGTCCTCCCCCATCCCCTGCAGACACTGCCATAGCAGGGGTTGCTGACACAGGCTTGCCAGTTACCTATTGCAATAGATCAAGGTGGGCCTGATCTGGTCCCTGGTACCGGCGGGAGGTGGAGGGAGGGTTGACAGAATGCATGGGTGGGCGGGTGGACGGAGGGCATGGCGGGGATGAGGTTGGTTGTCTTGGAAGTCATCAGTATCATACCCTTCAGTGGAGGGTGAAGTGTATGCACGGGCCTCTGCTGCGGGGAGCCGGGCTTGGGAGTACTCAGGAGGCGGGGGAGGGGGAGGAGGAGGAGGTAGCTGAGGTAGCTGTGGATGGGGTAGGGCAGGGAGATAACCAGTGGAGGGGAAGTTATAGCTGGTGACATGGGGGTTTTGGTACCTGAGGGTCTGTTGACGGAGCACTCTAGGGTGTGGGCAATCTCTCCTAAAGTGACCTGGCTGATTACAATTAAAGCAGGTCCGGATTGTCGTGACAGTCCGGTCACGGGAGAAAGGAATTGGTGCAGGCAGTGTCGGGGGGGGCTGGGTGAACTGTTGGGGGAGCATCTGAGAGCCCTGGGTTGGACCTGCGATTGGGGTGGAGGTAGCGTACATCAGTGGACTAGTTCTACGCTGTGTAGGAAGCATAACAGACTCTAAGCCTTTGGCTACCAACAAGAGAGTGTCCAGTGGAATAATTCTATACTCAGGTCGGGCTAAAACTAAACCCTTACGAATATTTTCCCTAAGCCCTGCCACAAAAGCTGCAGATAGCATCTGGGTGTGTGCTTTGTTGTAAGTACTAAACCCTAAGTCAGAAAAAGTCTGAGTCAACCTAGAGTGATACTTTTCAACTGTCTCAAGTTTGTCCTGTAGGATATCATTGATGCAAGTAGCCTGATCTGCTAGTTTATCCTGTGCCCAGGCACGAAGCTGTTCACAAAAAATTTCACCAGAACGAAAGTCAGTATCAGAAGTAAGTGGAGCATCATTAAAGCTCCGTTCCATGATTGGCCAGTATGCATCACCAGCCTTTATTTCACATAGACTAATGAGATCCCGCCAAGCAGCGGAGTATGTTTTACGGATCTGAGCCATCCTACGGAAAAAGGGCATGGGGTGTTTTTCAGGATCAGGGAGTGAGGTCACAAGGGTAGCAGCTTGGGAAGGGTTAAAGGTAACATACATAGGTGGAGCACCATCCGCACCATGGTTGATTGGGGTATATCCCTGAGGGATAGTTTGCTGTTGGGGGAGCCTATTCACCCCCAGGTGTGGTGAATTCTGGTCAACCACAACTACCTCGGCGGGCAGCACTGGGCCACGACGGAGAGTAGTCTCAGGAGTAGCTGTAGCTGGGACAACAGGGAGGGCGGTGACAGGTGAGGTAGCTGGGTGGAAACCTGAAGCCTGGGGGGAGGCACCCATCGCATAGGGCTGGTCAGATGTCCCCGACACCTCGGATCCAACCACCATGATTGGGTAACTAGGGCCAGCGGAAGGGATATGAGGGATCAAGGCTGTGGAAGGGGTTGTCACGGGGGCCGATTGGGTAGGGCGTGAAAGGTGGGTGTTGAGGACATTTGCGAGGGCGGAGATGGGATCGGAGGGCTCGGGGACATCGGCAGGGGACAAGGGTGGGGTTGGAGGCTCAGGGGGAGGGGGAGGAGGAAGAGGAGGTACGTCGATGGGAGGTGGCACGGGGATCGCGGAATTAACCAGGGAAGTAACAGCTGTGAAGAGGGCGGATATTGAACCAGGCAGGTCATCGGTCGTGGGTGTGTCAGAGTTCACGGGGGGAGGGGTCAGAGGGACGGGGTCAAGGGGCTGTAGTACGGTCGGGGGAGCAGGGATACTGGGGGGAGATGACACGGGAGAAGGGGCTGGGAGGGTGGCAACGGGGGGTTGGGTTAGCGCAGTGAGGGCGGAGATCAGGGACGGCAAATCGGCCGCGGGAGTGGGAGGCAATGAGGTAGAGGGGGCCGGGGTTTCAGGAGGAGGAGACACTGGAGGAGGAGCTGGAGGGGTGACGGCATAGAGTTGGGTTAGGGCGGTGAGGGCGGAGATCAGGGACGGCAAATCGGCCGCGGGAGTGGGAGACAATGAGGTAGAGGGGGCCGGGGTTTCAGGAGGAGGAAACACTGGAGGAGGAGCAGTAGGCGGGACCTTGAAGATGGGAGGGGAATCCGTGGGTAAGGGGGCGGAGGCAAGGGAACTGGGACTAGCGGGCTGGACAAGATTCATGAGAGTGGAGAGTAGGGGCGGGGGATCCTTGGAAATGGAGGAGGAGGAAAGGGGATGAGAAGGAATGGGGGAAGATGGGGATACAGGGGTAGGGGTCACGGGGATTCCTGAGGATACTGGAGAAGGGAAGGCAACCGGGGGACGGGGGTCCGGGGAGACGGGGTCAGTTGAGTGGGTAGGAGCGGAGGGCGCAGGATGCAGGATGGATGAAGAGGGTGAGGGAACGGGGTTTACCAGCGACGGGGTACTCAGGGGGGAGAGGGATTGAGAGGAGGAGGAGGATGGGACATCGATAGTTGAGACGGGAATAGTCGGGGTAATACTCGGAGTAAGGACAGGCCCTGGGAAAGGTAACAGGGGGCATGGAGGTGGGGAAGCTCCGACGGGCAAAACAGGATGATGGCTGAAAGGGGGGGATTGGTCACAGGGGGGTTGGTGCATGGGAGTGGGTGGGAACGAGTGGTGTGGCACTGGGAAATAGTAAGCTCCATCTACACCGAGCACGGGACAAAGGGGGGTGGGGGCTGGAGATACATCCCCGGGGGGTGGGGTCTGTGCTGTGACGGGGGAAGCAGGGCGGGAGGTTACTGTTGCGCTCTGGGCGCCATCATAGGGTGGTGGCCGTGGAACAATAGAAGTGACATTATCATTGAGAACATTCCTATGGTAAACATGTACAATCTGCCCCTCAAACTCCAACTCTTCCTCGACCCAACCTTCCCGTTTCAGACCTCTAGCTACACGATACCAGGCCTCTGCAACCTTTGTGAGTCCGTTGTCCAACAGTAAACCTTCCTTGTCTATGAGTAGCTTTCGCCAAAACTCTGGCTGCAATCTCCCACTGGGCAACATCTGGAAGCCACACACCTTAGCAATCTTTTTAAGTTTCATCATTGCATCCTCCCCTGCTCTTTCTTTCACAATATCGCAAGCCAACAAGCCCTTAGCAGGTCTAGCATGTTCCTGCCCCATCTTGACTAATCAAAGCGTGCCACTTGTTAAGGACAGATGAATAGAGGAGGTATAAAGGAGGAGGGGAAAAAAGAGTGTCTACAGTGCTCGACTGCCACGAGAACTTGAGCCCCGTGCGTCTTCCCCAAACGTAGACTAGTCACGGAGATCCGCCCACCCGGGGTGGTGGTCACGGACGGGAGCGAATGAGCGTGGGTGACTAACACAGCTCTGGGCAACAGGCACAGGAGAGATAAAGCACAAAAGAAAAGATGAACGTGGCTGCGCTAATGAGAAGACATTTGCAAAAATCACAAACATATAAATGAGCATAGACTCCGGAGTCCAGAACTAACCACACAATACACACACACACACACCAAGGGTACCCACGCTGTAACAACAATTGAACAAAAACCACAGAATGACAGAGAGTAAAATGGCCATGTACATGTTAATGACACCGGTGCCAAATAATCGAAGTATAGCAATCCTCAGCCTCCACCCACCAGGCTGGTCCCGGTATACCCCCAGGTGTTAATGGGAGCACAGTAATGAACAACCAAAATCCCAGCCCCACCGGCTGTAAAATCCCAGCCCTACCAGCTGTAAAATCCCAGCCCCTCCGGCTGTAAAGTCCCAGCCCCACCGGCTGTAAAATCCCAGCCCCTCCGGCTGTAAAATCCCAGCCCCACCGGCTGTAAAATCCCAGCCCCACCGGCTGTAAAATCCCAGCCCCTCCGGCTGTAAAGTCCCAGCCCCACCGGCTGTAAAATCCCAGCCCCTCCGGCTGTAAAATCCCAGCCCCACCGGCTGTAATGCGTCCCCTGCCCGCTAGGCAGTCAAGCTAACTTAAAAGAAGTATGAGAAACACGCACACACACGCACACAAACGAATACAGGAGGCAGATAGACAATTGACAGGTTCACCTAAAAAAAAGGCACACCGGATGAGTTAATTACCTGTCTCTAGTAGCCTTCTGGAAGCCGGAAGTGGACTCGGAGGCAGACCGACACAAAACAGGAGAATAACACAGGCAACGGCTGTATTATGGAGGTGATCAGGCTCCGCTTGTCCCACTTTCCAGAGGTCCGCTCCGGTCCGTTGTTTCCGGCCCTCCGAACCGGCCCTCCGGTGGCCCCACGTTGGGCGCCAATTGAAATGGAAAAATCAATTAAAAGTATTGATTATTTCTTTGTGTATCTGCCCCTGGCCAAATCAATGAAACAATGCGTGCACGCTCCCTGAAGTAATTCACACCAGACACAGGTTCCAGGTTGTTGAATAACTTGAGGAATGTTTATTCAGAGGGGACGGCAGGTCCCTTTTAAAGCAAAATTACATCATAAGCATTGTCAGAGATAACATGGAATAATACATCAATAATTGGTTAGGTGTTAAGTGGTTGCTTCAATGCTCTGCCTACTGTAGGTGATGTCACCGGGGCCATGAGGGTCTCCCACGGTTTCCCGGCGCCATCTTGGTGCACGAGGTAGTTAGTCAATGTTAGGAAGAAGAAAGGGAGGGGAGGGGGAAGGAGCTAGAAGCTTCTAGCAGCCATCTTGATTATAACATGTGTGCTTAGCTATATATATATATATCGTGAAATGAGTAAATAGACATTTTTCACTAACTAGGAAATATGTGTAGACCTTATTTCCACAACAGAAACTATGTGTCTACAGGACTCGATGGCATCCAGGAGCATTTTGGCAATATATGGAATGTTGTTAGTGGGGCAGTCTTCTGTATTTGTGCAGTCATCTTGTCCCATTCTTCCTCAATGAAGCACTGCTGACGGTCCTCTTTCTATCTTATGATGCACGGATACCGCCCCAAACAATCTGTGTCCTCACAATCAAATAATATGTGTCTTGTTTCTGGTAAGAGCTCCTCCATCAGCTGTACCTCCAGGGGGGATCTCAGCACATTTACCATGTGTGGGAATGGAAGTCCTCTCATGACCTTACGGGTCCCTGCTCACCAGCTGTAAAATCAGGATTTCCTCTCAATAGGAGTTGTGGACTCGGTTCTGTGATCAGATAATATTTAGCAAATAATATATCTGATATAACCCCCTTTGGCCATCACTGTATGGGGAAAACAAAAAAGAGTAAACTAATATTGTTATGTTATAATGCGTTTTCAGAATTGGGGAATGAGGCTAAACCAAGTCATATTATAAAATGGGAAGAGGAGTTGGGTAAAGCTTTCCCCATTTCCCAGTGGTTACAGACCATTAAGATATCGAAAACAGCATCCCACAGCTTATCCCTGTGGGAAGCTTTTTGTAAACTACGTATGAGATGGTAATTTGTACCTTTCAGATTGGCACATATGCACGTTCAAATATCACTGCTATGTTGGAGATGTTTAGGTGAAACAGGGTCCCTACAAAATATTTTTTGGGAGTGTTCTAGGCTAAAACCATTTTGGAAAACTGTTAGTAAAGTAATAAATACAATAGAAAAAAAGGGAAAATTCAATTTTAGCTAGAATGCTATTTATTTAATTTTATCCCTTCTTTAGCTGATCTGCCACATATGGTTGTGATTATTAATCTTGTGATGGCTGCGAAAATGGAAAAGTACAAGTCCCCCCTCTTTGAAATAAGTTTTGAAAAGAGAAGACAACTCCTTTCAGTTTGTATTAATAGCTTACCGTCTTACTTGTAAAGAATATGAGGTGAAAAAAAATATGTAAAGTATAAAGAAAAGGTAGGACAGGGGTGGGAAAAGATGAGAGAAAGGGAAGAAAAGTAAAAATAAAAGTAAAAGTATAGATAAATAGGAGTACGTATATGTAGATATAGGTATATACGCATTGGTGTATGCTTGAATGTATATATGTATATAAGCAGATATGAAGAATAAGCTTGAGAAGAAGATGGGTTTTGCTTTGATTTAAAAGGATAAGAGATGGTAGGAAAAACACCAACAAAAATGATAACATTAAAATTAAGAATAAGATGGGAGATAAGAGGGGTTTGTCTTGTATTTTTTTTTATTTTATTTTTTTTACTTTTTAATAAGGATATGCATATTAAGCTTATGTTTGAGCTGCTATTGTTTTTTGTGTTTGTTTTATTCTGTGTTTTATTTTTTTAAATTTTTTATCTAAAAAATGGAGATTAGTATTTACAGTTGTTGTAAAGAAAATTTCAATAAAAATGAAATATTGAAAAAAAAAAAAGGATAATATTTAGCACCAGAGCAATGTCACAGGGATAGCGTTGCTTTAACAAATGGGTTTACAGCGGCTGTGTAAGCACCCTCCTAATCCATGGTAGAGCCCAAAATAATGCTCTTTGATTCCAGCGACACCCAGGCTTTTTTGACTATTCTAGGTAGTATTTTTTCAAAGTCCGGTAATGCCAGTCCTCATCGTAATTTGGGGAGCATTAATTGAGCATGTGCAACTCAAGGTGATCGTCCCCTCCAAACAAATTTTCTGATCTCTGCTTTAAGTGGTTTGAAGAAAGTCTGTGAGACCAAACTAAGTACCATTTGAAAAACTAACAACAGCTTCGGAAGCAGTGTCATTTTCACCACGTTCACTCAACCTAGCCAGGCGATATAAACGGTGTTTCACTGCCGCATATTCAGTCACTTCAGTTGCCTTTCATAAAATTGGTAGAAAGTCGTGAGCTTATAAATCCAAAGGGTCTCTTGTTAGCTATGCTCCAAGTTTCAGATGTGTGTATTGCACCATTTGAAAGTGAATCTGTGTATAAGGTTCTGACGTAATGCTGGGCTAATGGATAGATCTAAAATTTCTGATTAGGAGTAATTGATTTGAAGATTTGTATTTAGATTTTAAATTCCATGATTATTTCCCAGGGGAAGGGGCATTGTGTTTGTATAGGGGCAGTGTGTATGGGGGTAGTGTGTGTGTGTATGGGGCAGTGCGTGTGTATATCTGGCAGTGTGTGGGGGGGCACAGTGTGTGTATAGAGGGCAGTGTGTGTGTGTAAGGGGGGTATTGTGTGTGTATATTGTGGCAAAACCGACCTCGCCACTGGGCATTGGAGAAGACTGATTGCCAGCCTCCTGCCATGTGACTATGGCCCCTGGGATGTATTGCCCTTTAAAGACATGATTTGGGCATAAGGGATTTGTGTTGTGCTGCTGCTGGCCCTTTAAGAACCATCTGGGGACATACTGTGGAGTTACTGGGTGGCCACCATTTCCTGTATCAGAGGCACATGGTGAGAACAATGGATGAAGCACATGGTGAGAACAATGGATGGCGGCCATTTTAGCTCACAGACACTGTTTGGACTTTTCAACACGGTGCCATCTTGCCAGTATTTGGTGCACAGAGACATCGTGCAGTGGTTTTGGACTATACAGCAGGGGACACATTATACAGTGATTGTTTTTCATTTAGCCTGTATATGTTCTGCAGAATCTGCATTAAACTGTATCTTCCAAAGTACTGAACGGATCTGGGTGAATTTTGGATATGTGGTTCACCCAGATCCCCCGGTTCCAAGGATATACTTTTATGGGGTTATTGCATGTTTTGGGGTCCCTGTGATGTGTTTTATGAAACTGTATTTCTCTGTCTGTGATAATTAGATTACACATTGTGTAAGGTAATTGTATTACAGGCAGAGGGCGGATTTTGTGTGGGAGTGTCTGTGTGTATTGTACAGATTGATTGGTTGTTCTGTAAAACCCTGTGGGCAGTACTAAGTTTGTGGATTGGGAATAAAAGAGGCTGTATGTGCCAGTACAGTCAGTTCCTGTTTAACCCTCAAAGTGAAGTGTCGTCTCATTATTGGGGGAAGGATTTATTGTATGCTGTTCCAGTTTGACTGCTAGGAGGGTAAACCTATTCATATGGTTTCCTATTCAACTGTCTACAGCATTCATATGCTTGAGAGCATTCATATGCTCCTACGGTTCGGTGGTTTTGGTGTCTGCTGCAGTGCTTGGAGTCCTCAGGAAGTGCTAGGAGCATCCTTCAACTGAGGTACCCAGTCGGGGTGCCAGGTGATCCGTTACATATATATCGAGGACCACATAGTGAAAGCCCTTGAACACTTCTGGGCACAACTGTTGGCCAAGCTGACACAGACCCAAGCAGCCACAGAAGTCTCTCGATGGCCCAATGTTCCACTTACACCAAAACCAGCTCCAAAGAGCACCGTCAAACAACTGGCCACGATGAAGCAGGAGAGGATGGTGAAGAGAACACTCCGACCCATGGGATGCAGACCCACCATCAGTTACTGCCTGTCTGGGCCTTGGCACAACCAGAGATCTCCCACACACAGCCCTAAGTGCACGTGGAGGGTTCCCGCTAGGCAAGTGACGTGCACATGGACGAACCGGGATGCTTGCACCAGAGGCGGGCGGCAGCCAACATTATGCAGCCATGACACAGGGGAATGCCATTGCACAGAATGCAGCTGACTATTCCCTGACCTACGCCAAATGCCTGCCAACATCTGGTATCGGCTGAATGTGGACACTTGCACCATGATGACATAATGGGACTGATCGGATACTACACCTAATAACCTAATAATGACTCTGCATTAATAGTTAATAGGTTTTAAGACCTGCTGTCCCTTCTCTCCTTCCACACCCACGCAATGCTCATTGCTCTTACCTACCCTTGCCTGATTACCCAGTCTCAGGGGAAAAGTCTCACTCGTGTGTGCATCACCATATTGTAGTACATCATATATTCATTTAGAGTTACTTAGTTTAATCTGCAATATGTATGACTAACTCATTTATCTTTTCACTATTATTTTCTCATACTCTTTGCTCTTTAATATTGGTTACTCTTAGACACTTAAAAATCACTACATGTTTAATGTCTAAAGCTTGACAATCTCAACGTGACCTAGCACATTAGACATACTTATTTATCTTGTATTATACATTTTAAAAACTGTGCATTTTTTCTGATTGCAGTGCAAATGTTCTCCTATGCTTGTTTTCAAAACTGCCTGTAACTGCTGTCGTGGCATTGCAAGCCTGTTTCTGTTATCTCATGCACAGCAAAAAATAAAGAATTAAATAAATAGAAAAAAAAATAACACAAAATATAAGAACAAATATGGAGACCATTTATGCTTAATAACAAGTGGTAATTTCAA